TTCCTTGCTGTATTCCAAGCTTCTAGAATAGTGCCTGACACAGTAACTAGATCAGTAAATCATTGTGGTGAATGAATGAATAAGTAATTCATAATACTATCAATTTGAGGAAATGATTTGAAAAGCCACTTCTATTTTACAAAGTATTAGCAAAGCTTAAAAGTTTGCATTCTTTTTGCTTAACATATTACTTGAGTAAGCAGAGAAAATTATACAAAATCATGACATTAATCTTATATCTACATTCAGAAGTGGGTCACACATTTGACCTACCTAAAAGTGGGTCTCTTAAAAAACGGAACATAGCAACCTAAATATTTAAAGGCCTTGTGAAGATTGTTATTTTAAGGTTTCAGAATCTCTTAAATCTGGACCTTTTAGAATCTTTTATCTTACCCTTTGCTATTTCTCCAGAAGCACCACGGCCAGCACCAAAAGGAAAAAGAAAAAGCTAAGAGAAAAAGTACTCACTGGCTTTGGTGATATTGTGGTATTTTGGGAATGTTTATAAGGCAAAAAATTTTTATTTTCTTCATCCCTCCCTTCCGTTCCTTCTCTGTCTCTGCCTCTCATTCTCTCTCAATCTTTCCATCTACAAGGCAAATTTTAAGTGGTTTTTCCATTTCCAAGCTTGTTATCTGAACCAATAGCAACAGCTATGGACTAGCACTAAGAGCAGGAAGGCTGATAAAGAAATTTTTAAATTATGAATGGAAAATAGCCTAAAGAGGAATGGATGGAGTTACTAAAGAGCTTTATACTCTTTTCAAAGGTTTCCCTACACTAATACTAATCTAAATAATAAATTGGAGCCCATTGGTCACATTTCTTATTGGGGTATTAAGGAGCAGCATCTGGCCCTGGCTGGTGTGGCTCAGTGGATTGAGTGCTGCTTTCGAGCCAAAGGGTCACTGGCTTGATTCCCAGTCAGAGCACATGCTAGGATTGCAGGCCAGGCCCCAGTAGGGGCATGCAAGAGACAACCACACATTGATGTTTCCCTCCCTCTCTCTTCCCATCTCTCCATAAATAAATAAACCTTTTTTTTAAAAAAAGAGCAGCACCTGCTTACTCACCAGCCCATATGAGCATATGTGAAATCATAATGCCATGTATTTAAAAAGGAAAACTAAAAGAAAAATAAAATTTAAAAGTTACACATAAACATACTGTTGTGTAATATGCATCACTGAAAAATGAAAGGAAATTATTGTTAACTCTAAAATAAAAGTAATGATCTTCATTATAGTTTTTATATTATTGGATGATTTGTATCATATTAAAATGTATACTAAAAAAGCAAAATTGCCCCAAATCATTGTCTCTAAGTGGAATTGTTACTATCAAATACATGTATATTAAATTTAATCTGTAATTATCCTTCTGAAATAAGAAAAAGGCCTGAGTCTTTATTTTAGAAATAAATATTATTTATATTTTTTCTTTAGTGGCCCCCCTCTGTTTCCAGATGTGAATGTCAGTAATCAATCCCACACATAAATCCTTTTATTTTACTTGCTTTGGAGTCATAAGCAGAGTTCATTGTCAGTAAGGTGGCATTGCTGCGGTTTTCCTCTTTCAAAATTAGACAAACTTTCTGAGAGATATAGTCTCTCGTGCAACCAAGAAATTGTCCTGCACCTCAGATATACAGTTGTCTATTTCCTTTCTTCTCAGGGATTAATTTCTTAACTCCCAAGCACTACTTATCCCATTGTGACTAAATTCTTATCCCAAAATTATTCATCTTTATGATGACCTACTTGTTGTTTCTTCACAGGAAGCAATTTTGGTGTTACCTACTACATACTTCGCAACATCAATACATTAAAAATTACAGAACTCCATCTCTGTTCAGAATCCTGTTCTTCTAACTGGTAAACTCTACAATTCTATTCGTATGTGCTCCCAAGACATAGTTCTACTGTTAGAGCAGTGACAATGGCAAAGCTTTGTTTTTATATACAGATTCAGTTCCAACTGCTTCAGATATTTCCTTTCTCCTAACAAGCAATTCAGTCCTGTTATTCCTGAAGCAGAAGATATGGAGTATATCCAGATAAACAAATGGTCATTCTTTCTCTCAAACTATTTAATGCATTGGTCTTTGTCAGGACAAGTAAGAGCAGCTATCAAGCAATAAGTGATAGCTATTTCAGACGCATCAAACAATTTTAATCTTTTACCCATGCTCATTTCTTTATTCTCTACTTGTACTCAACAAGCCGTCTTTCAGCATAGTTCCAGTTCAGGATGTTTTGATCCGGGATGTTCAGTCCTTTCATGTGTGAAAACAGAAGCTTCCTCATCACCCCACCAATGGTCCAGGACTTCACCCTCCATGTCTTGGTGTTTGAGGGCATGGAGTAGATATGAAGGAGTAGATATGTCCATGCACATGTGTTAGTTGGGTCCAATTAAAGCCCTCTGGGACAGACAAGGGTCATTTCTGAGTGCTCAGTGTTGATGCAGTAGAAATAGGAGAGTTGCATCCTGACCCCAAGTGGCCTTCAATACCTCTATTCTTGTCTTGTGATTAGGATGGCCATACTGCCTAGTTTGTCCAAGACACTCCAGTTTATGTCTGTTGTCCCTGTTGTCCTAATATAATTGGCACCCTTATCACTCTCAAGTGTCCCAATTTGGGCAATAAGTTATATGGTGACACTGCTTATGGTAGAACTTTGCCAATTCCATCCAATTGGGCTTTTTTTCCTTTATCAGTTCCCTGGATCTCTGTTCTCCTGCCTACCCTATGATTAACTACCTTTTCTCCTTTTCTGGCTCTGCTAACCCCAAATCTTTTCAGATGCAGGAATTATTTTCTTCTTCTCTTCATGCCGCAGAAAACTTCTCTCCCTCAAAGCCACCCTTCTTCTATCTCCTGCTCCTTCCTTCATTTGCTTCTTCCACAGTAAACTTTAGACCCAGACAATACTGGTATGTAACCTGCACAGAGGGTCGACAAAAACTGTTTGCACAGTCTGGTGTCATAGTCATTAAATATTTTAAAACCATCCCTCTGGTGGTTCAGTTGGTTCGAACGTCAACCCATATACAAAAAGGTTGTGGGTTTGATCCCTGCTTAGGGCATGGACAGAAGTCAGCTGATCCATGTTTCTCACATCATTGTTTCTCTCTCCTCCCTCCTCTAAAATCAATAAATATATATCTATCTAGGGTGAGGATTTTAAAAAAAATCCCTGATCTGAGACCATCAACAAAGGAGTCTCCCAGTATATACTAAAGGAATCTTTAGTATAGACTTACTAAATCAGTGTATCATAGCAGACAGGGCTCAAACATTCATTTTTCCCAGAGCTGCACAGGTGTAGTCCTCACTCCATACACACCAGGCACCTTGCATGCCGTATCATTTAATCCTTATAATTCCAGAGAGGAAATATAGTGTAGTAGTTAAAAGCATAAGATGTGATTGGTAGGGACGGGGTGGTATAAGGCAACTAAACGGTAATGAAAAAAAAGTACAAAATTTTAAAAAATGAAATAATTGTGAAAAAATAAAGAAAATAGCCTACTAGGGCAGTGATTTTCAAATGGTGTGCTGCAAGAGTTTTTAAAACATGCAATACCTGACTATTTAGTCAGAGGTACTGACTGACCTCTTTTCCTAGATTGTCAGACAAAAAAAATGACAACAGCCAACACAATAACCATCCAGTGTGAATACCCTGTCTTGAACCATTAAACACATAGGTTATATGGTGGAGTTGCATCTTATTGGTCACGTCGCATAAGGTTGGGTCTGATTAGTTAATTCTTGGTGCCAGACATCCTTATACAAGGCCTGTCCAGAAAAAGTCCAGCCATTGTTAATATGAGATGGTTTGCATGACATTGATATAACTTGGCAACCAAGGAAAGTTGACTGTATGTACATGCGTGAACAATGACTTCATTGTACTTGTCAGTGGGAGCAATAGATGCCATTGAGTGAGCATGTGCACTGTGTGGCCATTGCATTCAAAATGACTGAGTGAGTAGAGCAATCAATCTGCATGAAATTTTGTGCTAGGCTTATAACATTCCTCTGCAGAAATTATTTGGATGATTCAGAAGGCCGCAGCTATGGGCAACTAGTGATTGGCAGCTTCACCACAAGGCACCCGCTCATGTATCACATCTCCTGCAGATGTTTTAGTGAAACAGAAAATCACTCAGGTGGTTCAGCACCACTACAGCCCAGATTTTGTGCCAGGCGACTTCTGGCCCCAAACAAAAATAAACTTGGAAAGGGAAGTTTTCAGAGCTTTGATGAGATTCAGGAAAATGCGACAGGGCAGCTGATGGCGACTGGGAGAACTGTGTGCGGTCCCAAGGTGCCTACTTTGAAAGGGGCTGAGGCATCATTGTCTTATGTACAATGTTTCTTGTATCTTGTGTCTCCTGCAATAAATGTCTGTGTATCCTGTTACCTGGCTGGATACCTTCTGGACAGACTTCATATACAGGTATAGGAACCCGATAGCTTAAAGTCACTTTAAACCAAAAGAGGTTTTTGTTTGTTTTTGTTAAGCAATAGAAATTATATCTATTTTTGTCAGATTGGGGAAAAAATGTTTTTTTGTGATACGAAATTTTAGTTTGTGTGCAATGAGATGAAAAAGGTTGAAAATCATCACTAGGGTTTAAATCCAGGTTCCAACTCATTAGGTACCCTTTGGAGTTCCTTTCAATCTCCATGTTTCAATTTTTCCTCTAAACCGTGGTTAACCTCAGTAACCTCAGTACTATCCTCAGACCTGCGGTAAATATTAAGCAAGCGGATACTTTTAAAGTACCTAGATCAGTGCCCAGCCCAGTACTTGCTCTGAAGGTGCTAGCAATTATTACCTACTTTACAGTTTGGTACATTTCCAAGATCACATGGCTAGTGGTGATGCTGAGATCACAGGGTTTTCTAACTCTGCTTTCTGTGAGTTCTTCCCAAGCGCTCCCCTATATATAATAGAAAACAATAATAGGCCAGTGAATGATATGGGAAGTACTTTATTTTATCATGTGACACCATATAACAGCCACATTTATAGCCGTCTAACCACAGTATAGACTTGAATAGGGAAAATGGCTCAGGAATAGCATTGTTAGCGACTGAAGTATTGATCTTCGTTTGATAAAAGACAGTTTTGATTATTGATTTTCCAGAGTTTTAAAATGCAATTTTATAGAGTTCTTGTTTTATTAAAAATAACTGTTTTGAACTAAATACAGATTAGGTATATTCACGTAACGAAGCTGCATTTGAAATCAAGCTTAAAAATTTCCTCAGTCACTTCTGCTCCTCTCAGTATTAAAAATGCCTAATTCCACCATCATGCTGAATGACTCTGCATCCTTCATACCATTCCAGGGGACTTCGGAAATAATGACTGTCTATCTTCCTTCAGAAAGACCTTGATAACCTGGAATTTTTCTTACCACATTCCCCAATATTCCTACAACTCGCACCTTCTGCTCTTTTGAGGTATGTTCTTATTGACACTAGGATTTTGAAAACCTAAATTGTAAGACTATGTCATAAGTTCCAATCTTTAATAGGTCATGAAGTTTTCTCAGGCTTCCACTTTTGATTGCAAAAAAAAAGGGGGGAGTCATACTGGTTGCATTATCTTCATAGTACCCTTACAGTTAAGGCAGCATTATAATCATTTATAGAGAAAAATCAATCTCAAAGAGATTACACAATCCATCCAAGATCTCACAGGTACTGGTTTGACAGAATTACTCTTCCACAATTTTGTTCAGGACCCTGGTACTGGTATTTGCTGTGCTCATAAATTTATTAAATGAAGCAACAACTTCCCAAGTCCCTTCCAACATTACATTTTTTACTTCTACTTGCTGTTTTTTCTTTTTTAAATCAGCATTTAAATTAGAAAGTATGTTCAGGGTCTGGCACAAATAACACCCCATTTTTATTACAAAATCATAAGCATGTAATTCTGTAACATAACAATACCACACTCAAGCACACCATATTAACATTTTAGGTGAAATGTTCAAATTAAAACTGAATTTTTACACCTATGTTATTATCCTATCAACCTTGCTCAGCAAGCCTTACTTCTGCTGGACCCTGTATATTTGGTCACCACATTTATCATGATTCTTTGATTTAACCATTCTTTAAAAGTTTCATGTATTTTTACATCAAGTCCAGAGAAAAGTTAATTTTTTAGATAGCTTCCACTTCTGCCTGCCTCTCTGAAAGCTTTTGGAGGAACATGTTTGCCAAAGTGGAGATTTGTTAAAATTTTATAAACATTAAATAATTCTTTTCTATAATTGTTATTTCAAAATAACAAAATGCCTTACTAATTCGCATTCCCCATAGTAGTAAAAATGTATTTCCTATTTATTTTGGATCCAGTCTCCCGCCTGCCTTCAGCTGTCATTATACCTCACTGTCAAGCCTCCCTTTCCTTCACAAGCAAATGTCAGCCTTAGGAGTCAGGCAAGTCCTTCCTGTCATTAGCTACAGGAAAGACAAACTAACCACCTGAACGGGAGGATGAAACTTAAAATGTTCAATGAGGGATTCAGGACAGTTCCAATGAGGTCATATGACCAATTTAAAAGCTGATGATATGATGTGCTTCAAATAACACAATTAACTCTTATTTGTAATAAATTTACACAAGTGCTATTTAGTCATGCTGGTATTATATACAAATACATGCCTAAACCAAATTGGAAACAAAATTTATTTCATCAGTAGTCCTGAAAATTCAGCAGTGCTCAATAAATAGGATGCTCTCACAAGGAGGGAGCTTTAAACATTCAGTAATTTATATAATTTAATATGTTAAAAGTGAGAAAACAAACAGGGTATGGGGACAGGGCGTAAATATAGAAAAAATAACTCCAAGATTTCCTTCATTTTGATTGTATTGCTTTCTTGTCTTGAGGAGGAAAGACTTTGACTTCAAAAGTAACAAAATATTTGAGAAGAGAATTTACATCTTTCTGTTCTAGATGGTATTCTTCTGCTATTTTCTCAGCAGTCCATGTATCTGGATAAAGTTTATGATTGTTGAGAAGTGTCAATGCCTCTACAATGGAAATTTTGCCTCTGGGAATGTTCTCAATATTTATGTCAAAGTGATGGCCTTTCGGGGATCTGAACTCCTTTGGCTCCCGAGGTGTTCCAGCATCTTTCGCCTGGTATCGGAATACAAGGACAAACAAAAAGGCTTTCAAGATGAGAGAAAAGATTGGACATTTACAGCATGCTTCTCAAATCTCCACTATTCTTCTTCAAGTAAATACTATACCTCCTTCTCCAAAATACATTTTCTCAATATAATGGCATTTTGGCCACATCACCATTTAAAAACTATAGCTCAATCATTAAGAAATTAAGGAATTCTAGAAAATAATACTCGAATGTATACCATCTACTGACATCACTTCATCTGCATTTTAAAAGAACAAGAACTTGACTAGCTCAAGCCTGCTCTAGAAGGTCAGGACTCTGACACAACCCTAACAATTTACTTGATAATCTCCAATCCGTTTCCTAGTTTTCCATTTCATATTCAATGCCTCCAAATGCCGTGAATAAATTTAAATACCGCTACAGACTTTGCCTCTTCAGGGAAAATAAACCAATGCTTCTAATACTCAAACAAATATAAATGACACACACTACGCACACCCACTGTTCCGCCGGCTTGTCCCATCCAAGCTGTGTTTCATTCCTGTCACCTGGTCACGCTAATCACTCCTTCCCTTTTCCTTTCCCCTGACCCTGCCTAATGCTGTTTGGTCAAAATATAAAAATGCTGTAGTCACCTTTTAAAAACACCTACAAGCTCAAAACCAACATGACCAGTCTCCTTCTTTTTAGTTAAGCCTTAAAAGATAATGATTTTTATGATTTCTAACCCAGAGGATTAGACATGAATCCAGAAGACACTCTTCGGGCTTTATCTGAACTCACTGTAGCGTCTGATGCTTGGTTCCAATGCCACCCTTTTCCTGGTTTTCCATCTGTCTCTTCAGTGGCTCCTTCTTCGTTTTCTTTGTGGGCTTCTTCCTTTCAGTTGCCCCTTAACTGTTAGTGAGCTCCGAGTTCTGACCCCGGCCCCTGCCACACTACACTCTGTTACTCTTCCTAAGTAATCCCACGTAACACCTGCATTTTCATTACTACCTTAGTTACTTTCAAAGGTGATCTCAAACCTGTACCTTTCTCCTTACTTTCAGACCTAAATTCCCAAATGCCTAATGGGCATCCCTACTTAATCTACAAGTACCTCAAAATGAACACATTTAAAACTACACTTATCCCTTTCCTCTGAAAACCCAATTCTATCCCCATACTCTCTCTTACTGACTAAAACCACCCCCGCCTCTGTATCCCATTCCAAAACTCAAAACTTCTCTTACATCACGTTATACTGACACCTCCCTTTCCTTGACTTGTAATATCCAATCAGTGACAAAATCCTATTAATACTGCCTCCTAAGTCCCTCTCAAAACCATTCACTTCTCTCCAGTTACTAAATCACCTTAGTCCAAGCAAACGTCTCTTCAAGAAACTACTGCAAAAGCCTCCTAAGTGGTCTCCTCTAACTGGACAAAACACATTTCGTTCTCTCGTCCATTCTCAAAACTGCCCCTATTATGAAGCAAATCTCAAGTCGCTTTTCCACAAGATTCTCCAATGACTTCATTTTGTCACAGGATAAAACCCAAATTCCTGAGCAAGACAAAAAAGGGCCTTCATGCTCTGGCTCCTATCACCCTCGTCCCGCCTCATTTCTCCCTCACACTTTCCCATTTCCCATGACTGTGCTGAACTCGGACCGTTCTCCAAAGGTATAACATGCTCTCCTACCTTTATATCGTAACTGTGGCCTGAAACACTCTTTCTAACTTCACTTTCCAAAACTGAAAGCTCCCACGTAGATCCATTTCAATTACACTCAAAATCCAAATAGAACTTATTAAAGAACCTGACAATTTGCCTCAAGTTTATCTGGGGGAAAAAAAGAAGTGTGGCAAGAGCCAGGAAACTTTTTAAAAGAAAGAGAGGTCTAACAGATATCAAGATACATTATAAAGCTCTACAAATTTTCCCTGACTGGTGTGGTTCAGCATGAATTGAGTGCCTGCCTGTGAACCAAAGGGTCACTGGTTTGATTCCCGGTCAGGGCACATGCCTGGGTTGCAGGCCAGGTCCCCAGTAGGGGGTACACGAGAGGCAACCACACACTGATGTTTCTTTCCCTCTCTCCCTCACTTCCTCTCTCTCTAAAAATAAATAAATAAAATTTTAAAAAATAAAGCTCTATAAATTAAAAAAGTAAGATTCTAGTATAGAAATAGAAAAATAAATAAAACTGAAATCCATAAGCAGGCTTATATGTGTATATACAAGTATAACCGTGTATAATATTTTAAAGGAGAAAAGGACTGGGTTACTCAATAAAATATTTAGACAATGGACCATTCAGCTAAACAGATCTTCACACATCAAACACTGTACTTAATGGCAAAAATTTTGACATAAAATATAGTCATAAAAGTACTAAGAAAAAATTCAGAATACTGTTTTTATATTAGAGTGAGCCCAGACTTCCTATAGCACAAAGGACAAAAATGCATTATTTGGCAGAATTTGGAACAATAAGCAATAAGTTAAAAAGTCAAATAAAAAATAATTTGACATATCATAAGCATAGTATCACTGATGTCTAGAAGCATTACAAATGAACTGCCAAAAAGTAAAAAACGGACGAAGAACATAAATACATACCTCAACCTTTTTTTAATCACTCCCCCATTAGCCTTTTTAGACTTTCCTAATAACCCTTTTAAATTTTAATACCACTGTGTATCCCTTTATGTATTGTATCTATATAACTGTGTCTTATGTAAAAAGCATTACTCATTTTTTGCTCCCCAAGAGCCAACTTTCGAGTTCATAATTTAGTGTAACATGAGAGAAACAACACTTGGAAATATTATTCAACACCTGCCTAAAAATAACAAAGAACAAGAACATCAACTCCTATCTTTTATGTGAGCATCTGGTGTCAACCCAGTAACTGCTATTACATGCAATAATTTAAAACCTTTATTTTACATGAGTTTTACTTCTCTTCTCTATCAAAAATTATACTGATAACTACATCTGTACTGCATATTGCCAATCCAGAGAGAGAGACAGAACCAGAGAATTTTAGAATGGAAAAAAATTTGGAAGTTGTCCTAGGTACTTGCCTCTCCTTTAATCAAACTCTTCCTCTTCCTTAGAAAGTCCCTGCCCCCACAAACTTACCTGGTTAACTCTCACTCATCCTTCAGGCCTAAGCTCAAAGGTCACTTCCTTAAAACTACCCATGATCCTCCGACCTCAAACAGGTCCTCCTGATACACTCACAGTGCCTATATTTCTCCTTCATGGACATATTATTAATTATGTACTATAGGTGTTCATCTGTTTAATGCCTGTGTCCCTCACAATACCATAAGCACTGTGAGAACAGGGACTAGATCTATTTTTATCACTATATGCAAAGCACTTATGCCTGGCACTTATATATGAATTTACATGTAGGTTCCCATTCTCAGTGTATTCTTGTACATATCCTATCTGAACATATCCTTAAGAATCCCATTTCAAAAACTCAAATACCAATACACAAGCAAAGGAATCCCTGAGATTAGTACATATCTCAATACACTGAAAGGAAGGATAGTTTTAAAAGCTCTCCTTTGGTCATTCAAATGACAACCACTAGAAGAACCTTACCTATATAAATTCTGAAACACTGTAATTCACAGTTGCATTCAATCAGTATTTTCACAAGTCTCTTAGAATTTCAGTAAATGATCAATGAACCGAAGCGTGTGTGTCTTGCTTAAACCACTGGATTTAAACTTTGCCAATGCACTGTATTCTGGTCACAACGACGCTAACATTTTACACTGCCAGAACTCCTCAACTCTGTCTTACTATTTGTACACTTTCCTAATAATTATACTGGAGTCCAAAAAGGATAAATTATTTAATTAATTAAATTACCTGCACAGAAGACATAGGATCTTTGGAATCAACATACACATCTTTCAGTAAGGACAGCAGCTTGTCATCTTTTCTATCAATCTCTTTCTTAATATCTGGATGGCCTAAGGAAAGATTATCACAATATTAAAAGCAAAGTTCCCTTTGAGATCCTAAACACTTAACACACGACAATCACTTTAAATTTTTTGTTAAAAAACCACCACTTGGACAGCACGAAAAATGTTTTAAAGTACACCCAAATGGTAGGTCAGGCTCGATGTCCATCGGTCTGTGAAGACACACAGAGAAAACTTCCGCTGCACGTGATTCCTTCTGTGATTCACTGTACCAAGTGGCCAAAGGTGAAAGACAAAAAAGACGGCGAGGACCCGGCAAGCAGGGACACTCACTGCTCAGTCACCTGCCGGACCACGAAGCAAGCAGAGCCGTCGACTCCATAGCGGGCCAAAGGGGACTGTCTCAATGTCATCGGCCCGGTAGCTCAGCGGACAGGAGCCACAGCGGCCGAGCCCGGTCAACCCCGCCAACGGACCAACGTCAACCCGCCCGGCACCGCCCACCAGTCGGCACAAGGAGCCCGCGAGCAGGGTCCCGGGCGCCCTCGCACCACTTACTGCCCATCTGCTCTCGCAGGTGGCTCCTGGTGGACGGGTGCCTGGGAGCTGGAGAGGGCTTCATCTTGCTGATTTCCCGTTCCGCCCGGTTCTCAAGATTGAAATTTCTGATCGCACGGGAAACGGCAGCCCCCATCTTCTCACAACATGATGCTCTCAGGTTCTCACCGCACGTGGGTACCCCGGCGAGGGTGACCTCTGGGACGCACCGAGCATGCGCAAATCTAGGGTCGACCGGGTCGCACGCCGGGAAACGAGCGCTAAATGCTCGAAGTTTGCCCCCTTGCGGTTGGGAGGGCACATGCCGCTTCTCTGCCCAGAGTGAATCAAAGCGGCTCTCTCGAGCCCGGGCTCCCACCTGCGGCTCCCTCGGAAAGGAGGGGACGGAGCTTAGGGCTCAAACACACTCCGGTTTTCCCCTCTGGAGATTTCTGGAGACACCGGAAGCTTTAAAACAGTTCCATGCCTTGCAGACTTTCTGATTTAATTTCTCTGCAGTGAGGCTAGGCATTGGTTCAAACTTTCCACGTGATTCCAAAGTTTCATGCTGAGTAAAGTCGTTAGGAAATTGACCTTGAAGTTCTTTGGAAGGTCCCTGCAGCCGATGAGGAGCCAATAAAAATGAAACTACCTGTAGTTGCACCTGGATAAAGGGAGGTTTGAAAAATGCCCTTTCCTGCTTTTGTGAAAGGAACGTAATGAGAGTGTATTCATTTCGATGAATATTTGTTCTCTGCCACTCTTTTATTTACATGCCCTTTATTTTCCTGTCCCCTTCCCTGATGCATTTCTGAACCACCGTGTTCTCTTTTTCTTGATTTTTTTACATCCTTTGTCATACTCGTTTGACCTAGTTTTGACCGTATCATTTATGCTGCCCATTCTTCTCTCTCTCTCTCTCTCTCTCTCTCTCTCATACTAATTTGTGTTATTTGACCATTCCATAAAGTGCTAAGTTAGTGCGCCATTCCCGTTTTCCCTGCCTTTACTCGTTTCTTTTTAAGCCTGGGAAACCTCCATGTAACTTAATGAAAGGAAGCCAATGAGAAATATAAAAAAACAATCAAACAGATATCCTTCTCCCCTACTCCCCCCACTTCTGAATAGATTATTCTGTTGCTAATTTTATTTAGATTCTTTAGAAATATTGTCATTAATCCATCATAAATAGAACCTACCTGGAAGCTACAATACGTTTCACAGGCTGTGGCTGCAAAGATCTCTTTTTGGTGTTGCAAGATCTGCTCAGTAAAATGAAGTTGGTTGTTGGTTTTGTTTTCAGATAAAAGCAAGAAGAGTCCATGTAAAGATAACAGAATTGAAGTAATAATAATTTTTTTAAAAAAGAATCTAAGAACTGTGGTTTTACTTAAAGAAAACTAATGCAATTATTAAATATATAATTAATCATAGCAAAAGTAGTACAAGGACCCTAGCTTCCACCACTGATTATCGTGAAGAATTTTTACTGGAGTTGGTATTTGGATTATAGAAGCTAAAACCAGTGTTCTCTGGGAGAGTTAGTTGGTAAATTATCCTGAAGGTGGCAGGCTACTCCAAGATTTCCATCTTTGAGATAAGCATGCTCCTACCTTTGTGCTTTTTAGCCCAGGTATTTATATTTCCACAGGTGCCAAGAAATTTTCATCTGCCCTATTATGTCCATGAGCTTCAAAAATTATTGTAGCAATTCCACTCATTGCCTGCTAAAAGTGAAAAGTTATTTTCAAGGACATTCTTTTGGCAGCCTGAAAAAGTAACATTAGACAGAAGTTACAGGAAGTGTAAGTGTAAGTGTACATTGCTGTGGGGATCACCGCATCAAAGGATTCCTTGAATTCCCCATGTAAATAGAGTTTGGATTCAACATTTATGGCACGTCCAACCTGTGCCAGCTGCTTGGACTGGTCCTCACCTGGTGCTGTTCCCGCCTGCAAAGAACAGAGGGCAGGGCAGGGGTACTCCACCAGCAATGCACAATTGCCTGTCACCCCCTGAGAATCAGTATGGAATTAAAACTTGAATCACAATTGCATAATTCCAGTTTTTCTCGTCAAAACATATAAATTAACAGGAAGTGTGAAGCCAGAACTCCCCCTGGGCTCATGTTAAGGATTGAAGTCAGGTTCCCAACTCAGATGCTGCTCCGGATTAAGTAGCTATCTCTGTGGAATGTTATGGTGGGTACGTATTGCTGAAAACCTTAAGATACAAATGAAATAAACCCAAGATTTTGCCAACATACTAGAATATAAATTCTATGAGAAAAGGAATTTTTGTCTGTTTTATTCACTGCTATATCCATCACATTGAACAAGTGCCTGGTATACAATAGGAACTAAATAAGTGTCAGGTAAATCTCAAATGAACACAGAGAAAAGGAAGGCTCCCTGAGCAGGAGTCCAGACCCTAGACAGGTTCTCTGTGCCTGAGCACCAGCAAAGAGGCTGAAAGTGACTTTGCTCAAAGTCACTAATTCTGGCTGGACCTACATTCCTCACCTTAAAATTGGGGTGATCATAATTTTGATGGGTGTCACACAGTTTAAAAATTTAAAGTGTCTAATATGGCTAGAATGTCATCCCAATACACCAAGGTTGTGGGTTCGATCTCTGGTCAGGGTACATACAAAACTCAACCAATGAATGCATGAATACATAGAACAACAAATCAATGTCTCTCTCCTTCTCCCTCTAAAATCAATTAAAAAAAAAGTGTCTAGCATGGTACCTGACTCAGAATATAATGTTCAATATTTGCAATGCTTTCATTTTCCAGAGGAGCAGAGAGAAGTTTGAAAAAGAACCAAACATATTCTGAAGCTCTGGTTTATTGGTGGGCAAAAGGGACAAAATAACTAAATATCTGAAAGTAAAGTAAGACCCATGTTCTTCAAAAATTTAATTTTAAAAATTGGCATGCTAAATTTGATTTTTATTTGCTGATTTGTGTGCTCTGCACACATGGTGGCATTGCATTGCTGGGCTCACTATGCTTGGAATTTGGGCGGCACTCGTAACCTCAGGACCACGAAATACAACCTGTCTTTGCCTGACACTGGCAGCAGAAATAGTCTCTAGCTAGTCCCCACCTTGCTTTCTTCCCTGCTCCTCAATCTCTCTCCACCTAGACTGTTACCTTTATGCACCCCTTCCTTTGAATATAATTCAACAGCATTCTGTATTCTCCAAAGAAATGGCAGTCACTAAACCCAGGATACTGGTGACTCAAGGAGCCCAGGACAGCCCTCAAAGATTTCGCAGACCAAACCCTAACTGCTGATGGACTGCATGGCAGATTTGCAGAGGAATGACTCATCCTGGCAGCCAGAACCCGCGCAGGGCCTGAACTCCAGCTCAGGGGCCAGGGAATCAGTGAGTCCAACCAAGGTCATTTATAAAGTTCCCAAGCGGGGCCAGTTCCGTAGTGATATATAGTGTTGCAGTATTGTAGGCTATTAAACATCGAATAATTGGGGGAAAATCCAAAACAAAAACAAACTAGGTTTTGAGCAGATCCAGTATTCATATTGAGAAACACTGGGTCTCATAGATTAGCTTTATCAACTAGCAGTTACACGCAGATGCCTGCTCTGGGGCTGCTATGCTCATGACTATTGCCGTTCTATGAGTTTCCTATTAGTGCTAACAAATCACCACAATATAGTGGCTTAAAATAGAACAAAATTATTCTATGTTTCTGGAGGTCAAAAGTCCAAAGTGGGTCTTGGGAAGCTAAAATGAAAACATCAGCAGAGCTGTCTTCCTCCTGGAAACTAGGAGAGAATTCCTTGTTTGTTTTTGTTTTTGTTTGTTTTGTTTTTTGGCTTCTAGAGACTTCCAATATTTCTTGGCAACCAGTAAATGCATAATTTCATTGTCCTGTCTTCTTCTCTGACTGTGACTCTTCTGTTTCCTCTTTTCTCTTATAATACTCTTATGATTATAAGGACCTAACATGAACAAATCCAGAATAATCTCCCCATTTCAAGATCCTTAATGTAATCCCATCTGCAAAGCACCTTCTGCAAGCTCTAGGGATTACGAGGTAAACATCTCTGGGAAGCTGTTGTTCTGCCCACCACAGTCATTGTCTTCCGAATATTCATATCTATTAGTTCATAGCTCTGAACTTGCAGTAAAAGTCAAAGACCGAATGATGGAGAGAATGTCCAGTAGTTTTCATTCAGAATTATTGAGCTTACATTCCAATGGAACTACATAAATGTTGAAAGAATAAAACCATCTTGTTTGGATAGTAGCAGTCTTTCTTTCAGGGCTTGCCTAAGAGCCATAGTAGCTCACTAGCAAATTTGACACTAATTTGCCGGGTCAGCACTGCTCGGGGAGGCACGTTTTCTCATGTCGTCAACTTCTCATCTTCTCTGGAGCACTCGTGTCTGAGAAGCCTCAGTGAGCAAGAGTATGACCCTTCCTTGTATTGCCTATATAAAGCAACATGACCAGTTTCCCTAATTACAGCACCTTAGAAACACCAAAATCCACCACTTTCCTTATTCTCCTTCACATTCCATGATTTCCCTCTTGGTTTAGAATTTTACAGTCACCCACCCACACCTTTCATTGCATTGAGGGTTTTCTCTTTCCTCTGCCTGTATCCCCTTTTAAAAGGCAGGTTCTCCTGGGGGAGGCAAGTAATTTGTGGAAGTAATTTGTTATCAGTTCTCTGAACTCGGACTAGAAGACAGGTGTCTGGCAAGTGGGGGAGAAAGAAGGAAAGTAGAGGCACAGGCTACTGAAGAAAAAAAGGAAAATGAAAGAGAAAGGACAAAAGGAACAGGAAAATAGGGTCAGAAGAAGAAAGAAGCATTCACAGCCCTAAAGGTGGCAAGGAGGCTCCTCTCACAGTTCCTTGCCTGCGCTCCCCTCCCCTTTCCATTCTCCTCATACACACTAGAAATATACATTGGAAGAAATAATTATCACAACCTCTGGGATGAGTCAAAGTGTTGTTGGAGTAAAATGTGTGCGTTTTTACTAAATAACATGCGTTAGAACACTACAAAGATTGAAGGTAAGTAAGAATTAAGCGTTTAAGTCAAAACACAAGAAAAAATACCAAGTTCTTCTAAAATATACTATCTGACAAATTCAAGTAAAAATAAAGGCACAAATAAAATCCCTTAGAATTTTTTCCAAAAAAAAAATCACAAATATAAAGAATTTACTTTAATTCGGAGAAAATGATATGTAC